TTTTTTTTTCCGGATTTATCCAAAAACACGGGACCCTAATTATAATGTACGATAGAAGTTCAACTGGCGCTAGTGTGCCGTTTCAAATTGAAGCAGACAGCAACCAGTCGGAAATTGACTTCCGGTAATGCATTTCTATGGGGAAAAGCGAGCGGATTTTCTCTCTGCGCATAGTTATAAGAGCAAATATCACGAATAATTCGTAAGTATTAGGTAGATTGGAACATTTCTCAGTCAGGCGGACGAAATAATGGGTCAGTTACGGCGCTTTTATTTAAAATTCATGGCGTTAAAAACGCTGTTAAAACGGCTTCGTACATGTTTAGTTATGTGCACTGTCGGACACTATTAGCGCGAACACCGCGTCGGCGCTTTCCAGCATGGAATATATACATATTAAACGAACGGGACATCTGGAAAACCAAGAGCGACGGCAAGAACTACGCAGTAACACTAGAGCAGTAACTCCTTGTGCATGCACATGATCACAATAAATTGAATCCCACGTATTATTGTCCTATTTGCAGTAAATAGGTATCTGCTCATCAATATGTGCGTAGATGCTTGTTCTGCGTTCAAAACATTACCCGCACGCTTGAAATCTTTAAAAATAGGGATAAGACAGAAAACAGGTGCCTGATAAAAGCTGCTCGGCATAATAAATAATAAAAAATACACACCTTTCATAGCCCACATACTTTATTCTTTACGTTTTGCATGTATTTTAACCGCTCGTAAAGATGCACGACGGGGTCATTATTTTACAGTGACAGGACAGGGATATCAGCGATATATAAGCGTTACTGGAATGCTAGCGAACCTTGAACACACTCTATATTTCTTTCGATTGTTATTTTGCTTATAATTGTCACTCGTTTCTACATACCTGCCATGGAACAGAGCCTGAAATGTAGCGAAGTTTAACATCGTTCACTGGTGATGAAAAATGCTGTAACTAAAGCAATTACACTTTTACAATGTTAACAAAGGTACATACTATTCGGTACAACCCGAATAACAAAAGTTATTCATGTTATTTTCCGGCGAAGAGACAAAATACACGCGCGTTTTCCCATAGGAATGCACAGGAGCACCGCAAAAGTAGACTGGTTGCTGTCTGCCTCAATTTGCATCCCGAAAGTCCCGTAGACACTAGCGCCAGTTGAACCTCTAGCGTATATTATAATAACTCTATAAGTGAGATCGGTCTATTGGTCACTTTGTTTTAACGTCGCTGGAGATGAGGGTGATAGCTCGTGGAGACTAGGGGTGTCGCGAACTTTTGTTGAAACGGATTTTTAGGTCGAACTTTCGGGGTTCGACTGGGTCGAACCAGTTCGACGAGCCTTTTAACATTTAACCAGATTCGACCGGTTCGACTTTGTGGACAGTTTGGTCATACCTTGATACAAGCATGCCTAGGTTTGGAGAATTTTTTTTTATGCAAAGGGTTATTTTAATTGTATGAACAGTTGCAAATAAAATGAACTAATTCTAGTCACTGAAGATATTTAATAATTTAATTGTTTGTACTGTATTAACTGAAATAACCAATCAGTTCTGCCCTTAACTCATTCCTTAGCCATCACCATCCAATCCGAAGCCAACTTGCCAGCCTATCGCGCATGCGCATAGCAGTCGAACCTGAGTCCAACCTTTGTCGAACTTTTCACAAGAGGTTCGAAAAAGTCGAACCTGGTCGAAGTCGAACCTCGACCGGTTCGCGACACCCCTAGTGGAGACTGAAAATGCGAAGCCCGTGATGTCGCTCTCGAGGGCGTATTCGATGGTGGGATAAATGAATACAGAGTCAGAGTGGCGCCTGTCAGCCTGCTAGCTGAGACAGCTTAAAATATCTTAGTCATGCGGTTTTCAGTCTTCCGACGCCTTATTTCCTTGTTTTTGGTAGCGGGCGCGAATGTTTAGATTTAAGGTTACATATATACAGGGATAGATCGAGAAAATGAAACCCGGTTTTTCGGCCCGCATAAATAAATAAACTACGCAAACTCTGTGGCAATGTGGCTATGTGACACTAGCGGGTGGTGATAATGCTAAAGTTTCAGCACATGACGTTACCTGAATCAAAATATCAAAAAGAAATATAAACAAAATGTTTATACGAGCTGACGTCCACGTAAGCCCTATAATATTCATCAAACTGAAATTTGTGGTTCTGGGTGCCTGTAGCAATTGTGTCAGTGAAAAACTTAGAAAAAAAGAAAGCAATACAAACGTTCTAACTGACAAGCTTTTTTTTTTTTTTTTTTTCTACTGAAGTAAATGTTAGAGCGCACCCACACTTTGAAATTTACATTCGATTAATATTAGGCTTAGGTGGAAGTCGACAAATAGATATATTTTGTTTTATTTCGTATCTTTTGATCAAGGTAACGTCATGCGCTCAAAATTTCGCATTTTATCACCACCGCTGGCGTCGCACTGTCACGGAGTTTCAGGTCGCTGCAAAGCGTTGTTTTTATGCGGGCCGAAAAATCGGGTTTCATTTCCTCGATCCAACCCTGCAGTTGGATGCACCACAGTGATATCGCATTAATATGGACACCTCCGTTCCCGGAAAAAGCGTCCATAATGTGAGTTACTTACAATAACAAGCCAAAAATACGTGTATTTACCCAGTTCGTGATTGAAAAAGTTGTCTTTATAGAAGGGTATACCCAGATTAACGGGGTCCTTATTAATGAGGCATGGAAGCTCTGGGAAATATGTGGCTCCGGTGGCTGCACCCCCGTTTCCGTGAACACGCACTGAAATTTATCCAGATACAGCTCTGAGCAGAATACAATTTGCAGCACAATTTGCAGCACCATCTTTGCTGTGCTGCCCGCAAAAGGACTGTTTTGTTTTTGTGTTTTGCTCATATTTACAAAACATCGCCTTTGAATCTAACAAATGCACCGTCTAGAGATACTTTTATGACCAGTTTAACTCTGCATAGTTCCTCCACCAACAGATAGAATTAAAATTAAAAAAAAAATGTCGCTTAAAAACAGGGATGGGCAAAATACATGCAGATATGTATCGAAATACAAATACAATATACTTCGCCAAAAATGTATTTAATTACAAATCTAATTACATTTCCAAAAAACGCATTTAAATACAAGATACAAATACAACCAAATGTATTTTGTCTCCTCCAAATACTTTTCTAAATACATTCCTCAAAATTTGCGTCAGCGACTTCAGGGCACCTGCAACGAGTTTCTGTGTATGTCATTTTAATTGTGTATTACACGCTCGGGAGTTAGTGTGCGAGGCTCTAGTAACGTAATAGAAATATAATCACAAAAAAAATGTAATCAGCTTGGACGTAATAGGTGAAAAAAGTACAGAGCTTTAAGCAGCTTTTTTTGTCGATTACATATTGGTATAGGCCAACAAAGAACCGAAATGACCAAGACGCGCAGCACTGCTAGAGAATTTTTTATCGTTGCACCTCGCACCAGTTACGAAAATCTGGACGACCCGCACATTTAGAATGTTCCAGGCAAAAATATGGATGGAAATCAGGCTGGAAAGCATCACAAGTTGTCACAGGCCCTTATTTAGCCAGTCTGCCTGTGAACGTCGATTTCGTCACTATTCTTGCCCTGGACTAGCACGGTCTTAATCACAAAGTCACTAAACGCTTGTGCTTGATTGAGAGACACTGCATTCGGTGCAGAACGTAGTTTTCTTCCTGCTCTGGACAGTGACAATAAATTTGAGGGATATAGTTCAGCCCCAAAATTTTTATTTAATTACAATTGTATTTGAAATACCCACGTTTTAGCATTCAAATACACACGTCAAATACATTACCCAATTTGTAATTAAATACAAAGGCAAAATACACAAAGTATTTGAAATACGTATTTCATATACTTGTATTTGAAATACTGCCCATCCCTGCTTAAAAAAAATGTTTGAGGAGCGGTTAGGCCTTGAGGCAGTTCGTGAGTGTATTCCTTTCAAGAATTCAACTGAATCAAGACCACTAGTAGTAGAAAAACTAAATAAAGAAGAGCACCCGTTTTTAATTCAGCAGCTTTTACATTTCCTTCGTAGGTCCATGTAAATAACCATCTTCATACAAAACGAAATCCTCGTCCCTTTCGTGCAGAGCGGCCCGTCCGAGCTGCATCTCCAAAACTTTCATCGCGGGTCCAAATCCGCGGTGACACCTGACATGCGCATTAAACTGACGTCCAGAGGATGACGGGAACCGTTTCCGTGACGTGTTCCGGCCGCTTGCAGAGAACGCGGGCTGACAGGAGTGACTGGTTCGCCCAGTATCGCTTAACGTCAAGCGACGAGGAGCAACGTGCCCAGCCGCCTCATAAAAAAGAAAGAGGGAAAAGGTTCTTCAAGTCCACCGAGAAAACTGTCAGAAAGATGGCAGTTGCGCGACTCAATTCCCACAGCAAGCGAATTCACAATACGCGGGCCTTGTCGCGACGGGGTGCCCGTTCCCGCCAAATTCCCGCGCTGTCATAGAAGCCGCAATTATACCTCCGACTCAGGCCTCGTACACCACCGTTTTCGACACGTAAAAAACGGACGAATAAATAAAAAGCCCGAAATGAGGAATCGCGTTGCCTCCGTTTTTAGGAGCGCGCCCCCCTTCTCCCCTTTTCTCTCCTCCCAGCACCATCTACAATCCGATTTTAACGCTATACCAAAACACCCACCCGCATTTTATGGCCGGAATTTTGGGCAAAACTGTCAGAAATCGCGTCGTCCGATTCAGAGGACCCGGGGGGCAGGAGCGCAGGAGCGGACAGTCGACGCGTGCGCAGTCGAGTCGCCATGACCCCCCCCCCCCCCCCCCCCCCCCCCCCTCCTTCCTCGCGAAGCCCGAGTCCGAGCCTTCCCGGCCCAAACTTTGAGTGGTCGGGAAAACGTGCGGACCGATCACGTGGCCTCGCACGTCATCGAAACGGGTGGCGGTTGCCCGCTATAAAAGAGCCGGGGCCTCCCTACAGAAGCTCGTGCTGGTTCGAAAGAACGAGAAGGTGTCTTTCCTGCGTCCCGCGCCTCCTCGTCCGCGCCCGTTAACGTGTCATCTCCTGTACTGTTGCTCCGAAGTTCGGGAAAAGCGGGAAGTGCGCCGACAGAGCCGGAGCAGGGTCCGAACACCGAGTCAGTAAGTTTACTTTGGTCACTCCCGAAAGGTTTGTCCTCATTAGCGGAAACGAGTCAAACTATTTCGCCGTCACCCTCGTGTGTACTGAAAGCTTCCTAAGCGCGACCAGAAGTTCTTGATCCTGGTCAATGATCGCGGTAGTCTAATATCGTAGCAGAATCGGACTATTGGGTTTTTTGACGAGCGTCGGATCGTAGTCAGTTTTCCAGCAGTGATTTTGCGGGATCGGCTATAGTGTTTCGCCGTTTCGAAAATTGTGTTCGCCGTGTAAAAAAACACCAGTGTTAACAGCATGCGCGTTACATGAATTTTATTCATTTTCACCTTACCGATAACGCCTTGCTTTTTTTTTCTTTCCTCGATTGCGTGCGCAGTAGTTACACTTTCAAATAGAAACAAATATCTAGAGTATCTACGTTGCATTCTTAGATTAACATTTACAAATTACGCGTTCACTTTTAATGTCACAAATTTTGACGGTAAAAAAAAATAGTTTAAAGTTTCCTAACTTCAACTTTGTGTTTTTATATACTCTGTTTCACCTCATAATGTACAGCAGGAAAGGCTACAAGCGCAAGCTTATTGCTTTAGGGCACATCGCGGTAGCACAAGCTCTCGTGCATTAAGAGCAGCTCCCAACGCTATGAGCTCGAGCTTCTAGCCTTCTTTGCGGTACAACAAAGGTGAAACAGAGTATAATTACAGACAGGATAAGAACGGAAGGGTAGTCTTTTAGGTTTTCCTTGTCTAGCGCAATTTTTCTATAGCTTCGATAGCGTTTAGGCTAGAGCCACTAGTTTAGGCGTCTCATGACTCTCGAGCGTGCGCGCGCAGCCAAGTACGTCGAAAGGAAAAGAGCGCGTGCTGGATGCCCTGTCGTTCTCATCATGTCGATGATTATACTGCCTTTCACACTCCCCATATAAGCTACATGGGGTTAAGATTATCTAAATTGGCACAAGGCAAGATGAACCGATATACCTATCTTTCCTCGCGCACATTCGAGCAAGAATTACGCATCCTTAATCGCGCTTCTAATAGACCGATCTCACCAGCCAGCTTGACTACGCCACCGCTGCCGCAATGCATCCAGGGAGCTTTAGGTCTTTCTGCACGTGCGACAACCTCGCTGGAGCTCTGCGCGAGTGGAGCATGAGGCGGCGCGAGCCGTCTTGTACACTGCTGCCTCCCTCCTGCGAACTAAAGCTATAGTGGCGTCACGCATGCGCCGAACGCTTGGTGAGATCGGTCTATTATATATTTAAAAAAAATCATTGCCATTTTAATCGGACTAGCTGCGTTCACTGCTCGATTAGTACACCTGCCTGATCTTCAGACGAAAGTTCTAGGACTCCCCCAGCGCGAAACATACCACAGTAAGTGGCCGCATAGCCTATGGAGACGCGAAGCTTTTTGTGGAATACCTTAAGCCGAGGTCACACTGCTTATACATCATACAAACGACAGTCTGCATAAAGGTTCGAACGCGAGTCACCGCGATACCCGTGCTTCGAATGCCGCAACTTGGCGCGCGGCATTCGAAGCACCGATATAGGCCCGTTGCTCTCGGGCAGGGAGCGAGAGCGCGTCTGCAAGGCGGGACCATGTAATATTAGCTGCACCATCCACGCGATACGATCATAAAAGCGGCGCTGTAACGTCCAATTATGCAGGAGCCACGTTCAAATACAAGCTTTCTCTCAGCACCTGTTCATGCGCGATAACAAAGCGTCTAACAAAACTAAAGAAAAATGCAGCTCGCGGTATTAGCGTTTAATCAAGCATTCCTTTCAGCTTTATTATTTGTATTGCTTCCTTTACCTTCGTGAGCAAATAAGTTTCACTTTACTACAGTGTACTAGAATACGGGGTAGTGTTTGGACCGGCGCAACTCGACAATGGGAACTTGTGAGGCTGCGCGTGTAGACAACAATCGCGGCGCTACAGTCGACAGGGCAGCAGAAAGTCACTGCAGGCCGCACGCACCGCCGCACGTGCGCGTGCACGCGGTGCACGCGCACAACCACCACCCTGATCCTTCTGCCGATGCGCCGGTATCGACACCTATCGCGATTTACACCACACACCTCACGCGAGCCGCTCCGGTCCCAACACTACCCCGTATTCTAGTACACTGTAACTTTACGTGACAGTGAAGTCGAAGCTATGTGCAAAAGCATGTTCCCCTGAACGATGATCGCGTTGCACGAGCGCGCGTGCTCGTGCAAACGAAGCAGTTTCGTTTAGCGCGTTCGTGTAGTCGCATTCATTTGTGGCAGACGAGTGAAGCAAGAAGCAGTACGCGTCTCATATTTTAATTTTAAAATGTTGCTTCTTCGTCAGCTGAACAGCGGTCTATAATTAAGATGAAGAGGCTACACGAAAGTCTAATTGTATCATGAATAATATTTTAGTGCGGGAGATATGCTTCTCCAGTTCAGGTTGGAGCATAGAGAATTTTCGTTTCCGTGTTTTCATTTTTCCTCGCTAAGTTTTTAGCTAGTATGAGAGAGAAGAAAAACTTACTGAGCAAAGTTTCTGCGTGCCACTATAATATGGAGTTTTCTTCCCGAATAAACAGAATGCTTAGAAAGTAACGTCCGTTACTTTTTATCGGTTATGCTAACGCGCTGCTTTATTTTAATTCAAGGTAGGGCAGTGACGTAGTCGTTAATTCAATCAAGAACTAAATCTAATATCTAGTACACTTCAATATGTTTTTTTTCTCATGCATCCACAGTACACTTATGAAAAGTAGTAGAGACGGATCATACATATTTTTACAATTGCATTTACTCGCCAAATACTGAAGAACAGGCACCATCGGGGGTGAATTTGTGGATTTCACTTTCACCCCTTCATCGTAGTAGAGAGTGACAGAGTGCGAGAACACCAGAAACGCAAGAAAGCAACCACAAGGGGAAAAAAAAAAAACGAAAAGAAACGCTGTCATGACATGAACAAGAAAAAGCTGTCTGATACCGGTTGGCAAAGAACACATCGAGATTTATGTATGGGTCCTTATACTATCGTAATATCATATTCTATTTATTCATTGTGGTTTGGTTACATGGCGTGAGTATTTATAAATCGTGGTTTGTGGTTTGGTTACTTATAAAAAATATATTTATCTCCACAACGCAAAAAAAAAAAAGAGAGAAAAAAAGAAAAAAAAAAGGAACACAAACCCAGAACTTACCTGTATGCACGGGAAACATATGATTTTCCTCGTACAGTAAAGGAAGGACGACGTATGCTAAAACGACTGAGGGGGGACCAAACAATCCCAACGCCCCCCCCCCCCCCCGCCCCCCGCCCCCCCCCCCCCCCCTCCCCCCCAAGACGAGTGTCGGACGAGTGCGAGAAAGAGCATGCAGACGTGGCGTCACTGTTACTTCGAATCTATTTTTCCCTGTTCGGGGATGCACTTTTATGAATATCGCTTCGTACGTCTTTAGAACCTTCTTACACGAGCTTCATAATCTAAATCCTGAGACGCGGAGAAAATAAAATAACGGACCAGTCGTCTTGTCCTTTATTTTATTTTATTTATCCATGTCTCAGGGTTTCGATTATGATGTTTCCCCAACCAGCTCGCTAGGCTTTACCAGACTCCGTGATTTTCTTACCAGATATGCGTAGGAGAGAAAAGCTGGGAGTAGGCTAAAGGCTAAAGGCTAGTGCGCGTATCACTGAGGCATGTTTTCGTATGCCTCGCCCCACCCCCCCCCCCCCCTTTTTCCCCTTTCCCCTCTCCTCCTCCTCCTCCTCCCCCCCCCCCCCCCCCCCCCCCCCCCCGTAAACCAGGCGATGGGACGTCCATGAAAACGCGATAATCAGAATGCCGGAATTCACTCTGTTGACTTACTCTACAACCATTTCCGATTAAGCTTACGGAAATGCCCGTTATGCGGATATAGTAGTACAATCCCTGCCTCAACCTGCGTGTTGTATAGCGAAAAACGTTGCTCATAGTACAGTCAAGCAAGGAGTTCACCACAATACTCTCAATATGTATTTTTTTTTTAAATGTTTTAGCTAGTTACTCGGTTGCGTCGCTAGCGGGGTGGTAAGCAATATACATATTAAATATCTCGTTCACTACTCTCCCATACAGAAACGTTTTTCAGGTAGATATTACTCCTGAAATGCAAAAATTCCACTTTCGAAGTTGCATTATAACAAAGATTGCATGAGCATACTCGCACAAGTGACTCCAAAATATGCGCACGTTGTAGAATCCACCACTTTGCGAAGAACTGGTGCCCCATGTTAGATAGGTACTTGGTTCGAGGATGCCTTGGTAGAAAACTCGTAAAACCAAACGGCACCATTAAGCCGGGGTCACGCTGATTATACATCATACCAACGACAGTCTGGAAACACGAGTCGCCGCAATATCCGTGGTTCGAATGCCGCGTGCCAAGTGTTCTCCTTGAACTCATTGCCATGCGGCATTCGAAGCACGGATCTCGCGGTGATTCGCTTTCCAATTTGTATGCAGACTGTCTTTTGCATGATGTACGAGCAGCGTGACCCCGGCTTTAGAAAGAAAGGGGCAGAGGAGAGCACGAGCTTGGGTATTAGACCCGTTGCTCTGGGGCAGGGGGCGCGAGCGCATCCGCAAGACGCGACCATGTTATGATGGCTGAACCTTTCAGGTGTCTCTGTAAGATTCGATTTTGCACGTGCCACGTTCGAATGCAAGCATCTGAAGATTCGCGATAACAAAACCTTTAAAAAAATAAAAATAAAAAAAAAAGAATTATGCAGCTTGCGGCCGGGGCGTCCCATTAAACATTCCTTTCATCTTTGCCTTCTTTCATAGCTTCCGCGAGCACGTAAGTTTCCCTTTACGTGATAGCGAAGCCGAAGCTACTCGCAAAAGCACGTCCTCCTGAAAGATGCTCGCACTGCACGAGCGCGCGTGCTTGACAGGGACGCTGAAAGCTCGCAGCTCGCTCTTGTAGCCTCTGCTACGCTGGCACTTAGAATGGAAC